GAAATCCCCTGCTGGGGGGGCTGGGGGGATGGCCAGGCCTCAATCCCTTCTCCTCTGTTTTCTTTTTTCTGGAGAGGTTTTCTCTATAGGGCGCATGCACTTGCCACACAGACCGAGAGAGACATAGAGACAGAAAGCGAGAACTCACCCCCCAGGGGGGATGGTCATGCCGCAATCCCTTCTCCTCCATTCTCCTCTCGGGATCTTGGGCATGCACACATACGTGCCTGGCATGAGTTTTAAGCCATTGGGTCTGGGACACGAACCGTGATTGACTACGTGGGAGGCCAGCGACATAGCCATTATGCTAACTGCTGTTTCCCTATTTGAGTATTTTTGAGGATTTCTCTTGAAATTAAACTCAAGTTTAATTCCATCATGACTAGTGAAGATTCTGGGTATAGTTTCTATGCTTTTGAATCTGTAGAGGCTTGCTTTGTGCCCTGTGATGTGGTCAATCTTCGAGAATGTTCCATGTGGGGGCAAGAAAAAAGTGTATCTCCAGGTTTTGGAATGGAAAGTTTTATAGATATCTGTTAAGTCTATTTGATTTATGATGTCATTTAGATCTTTTATCTCTTTTTTGTCTAGATGATCTATCCAGAGGGGATAGTGCAGTGTTGAGGTCTCCAACAATTAGTGTGCTGCAGTCTATCTCCCTTTTTAGATCTAGCAGTCTTTCCTTCACATATTTGGGTACTCCTCTGTTAGGCGCACAAATTTGTGTGTCATCCTTGCACAGGGGCCATGGTAATTTTCTCAGTATCATTCCAATTTTTTAGTATATGTGCTGCCGAAGCAAGCATTGGATATCACTTCTTTATTCAAGGTAGGGTTTACAAATATATTCTGCCATAATTTTTTCCCATTATTATCATGATTTTGTTTATATTACATTGAACCATGTATAACTTTACAGTGTATTACATTTCTTTTTCCAGAAGGAATACCATGCATATCAGTCAAGACAAAGATAATACTATATACATGATCATCATCAAATAGCTTTTCATCATTTTTTCCAGATTATTATCATTATTATTCTCATTATTTTTTTTAAAAATTCAATCACTATTATTATTTGCCTTGTAAAATCAATTTGACCAACATGAAATACTTCTCAGACCACTCCAGATGAGAATACTATACATGTTATCATCAACAGGTAATAAACCATTTCTGTGACCCACTAATGTCATGCTTCTATATTTATTCTTTGTGCTATCCTTCTCTATACTCGTCCCTTCTCCTGCCCCATTCCTCACTAAGGATTTTCACGCTTTGATGCCTTCCAATAGTATGATTTCTACCATAAAGTGTGAATAGTTGGTATATATTAAGTGAATACATACAAAATCTTTCTTTCATATCCTGGCTTGCTACACTCAGCAATAGATCCTCCATATCCGAAGACTTTCTATCAAATACCAGGGTCTTGCTGTTTTTATGGCTGGGGAGCATTCCATAGAGTATATGTACCACACTTTCTATCCATTCATCTCTTTGTGGACATTTGGGTTGGTCCCATGTCTTAGCGATCATGAATCATGCTGCAATAAACATTGATGAGCAAATGATTTTCTGACTGCACATTCTCCTGTCCATCGTGTACCCAGAAATGAGATTGTTGGATCAAATGGTAGTTCTATTTGTAGATCTTTAAGGAACCTCCACATTGTTTTCCACAGTGGCTGAACCAGTTTACATTCCTACCAACAGGATAAGAGAGTTCACCTTTCACCACATCCCTGCCAATGCTGATCACTTTTTATATTTTGAATATCTGCCGCTCTGACAGGGGTTAGGTGGTATCTCATTGTGGTTTTAATCTGCATCTTCCTTATCATGAGGTTTGTTGAGCATTTCCTCATATGCTTTTTGGCTATTCATAGGTCTTTCTTAGAGAGATTTTTGTTCAGCTCATTTTCCCATCTTTTACTAGGGTTAATCATTTCTTTTCAAGTAAACCGCTAGAGTTCCTTGTGTATTCTGGTTATCAGCCCCTTGTATGAGGCATATTTTACAAAAATATTCTCCCATTCTGACGGTTGTTGATTCACACTTGTTACTGTATCCTTTGCTGTGCAGAAACTTTTCAATCTGATGTAGTCCCACTTCTCTATTTTAAGGATTATTGTCTGTGCTTTGGGACTCTTATTTAAGAAGTCTTTGCATACCCCAATGTCTCCCAGAGTTTCCTCAGTATTTTCCACCAGTAGTTTTATAGTTTGAGGTCTCAGGTTCAGATCTTTGATCCATTTTGAGTTGACTTTCATTAATGGTGAAAGAAGAGGTTTCAGTTTTATCTTTCTGCAGGTGGATACCCTGTTTTCTCAGCACTATTTACTAAAGAGGATTCACTTTTACCAATGGATTAACTGGTATCCTTTATCAAAATTTAGTTGGCAATGGGTCCAGCAGTTAGAGTAATGGCTATGTCGCTGGACTCCCATGTAGTCGACCATGGTTTGCATCCCGGACCCGGTGGCTTAAAACTCATGCCGGCAGCGTGTGCGTGCGTGCCCAAGAACCCAAGAGGAGAATGGAGAAGAAGGGATTGCGGTATGACCACCCACCCTGGGGGGTGATTTCCTGCTTTCTGTCTCTCTGTCTGTCTGGTGAGCAAATGCACCCTATAGCAAAAACTTCTCAAAAAAAATTCAGTTGGCAATAAGATTTGGAGGTCATTTCTGGGGTCTCTCTTCTATTCCATTGGTCCACCTGTCTGTTTTTGTGCCAAAACCATGCTGTTTTGATGATCATAGCTTTATAATATATCCTGGGGTCAGGAAGTGATATGCCACCCACTCCACTTTTCTTGTGAAGAATTGATTTGGCAATACAAGGTCTTTTATGATTCCAGACAAATTCTATCATTGTCTTTTCTAGGTCTGTGAAGAATATCTCTGTATTTTTATTGGACTTGCATTAAATATGATGATTAATTTGGGTAGAATTCCCATTTTGATTTTGTTAATTCTTCCAATCCAGGAAAAAGGGATGTCCTTCCATTTTTTATGTCCTTATTAATAATTTATTAAATATTTTCAGTTTTCTTTGTAAAGGTCTTTGACTTCCTTAGGTAGGTTTATCCCTAGGTATCTTATACATTTTGTGGCTTCACTTATTACTTCAAGAAGTTTCTTGTTTTTTTTTTTTTTGAGAGGTTTTCGCTATAGGGTGCGTGCGCTCGCCAGACAGACAGAGAGAGACATAGAAACAGAAAGTGAGAAATTTTTTTACACCGCAATCCCTTCTCCTCCATTCTCCTCTCGGGATCTTGGGCACGCACGCACACGTGCCCGGCATGAATTTTAAGCCACTGGGTCCAGGACGCGAACCGCGGTCGACTACATGGGAGTCCAGCGACATAGCCATTATGCTAACTGCTGGTTCCCAAGAAGTTTTTTTTAATGTAAATTTTTGGTTCTTCTAAGTATACTATCATGTCGTCCATATATAAAGATATTTTCAACTCTTTTTTACCTATTCGAATGCCTTTTATATTGTTCTCTTTTCTGATTGCATTAGCTAAGATTTCCAGCACTAAATTAAAAAGCAGTGGAGAAAGTGGCCAGCCTCGTCTAGTATCAGTATTTAGTGGAAAAAGCTTTTAGCTTTTCTCCATTCAGTATAATGTTAGCTGCAGGTTTTTCATAGATGGCTTTTATTGTGTTGAGAAATGACTCCTTGTATACCAGTCTTACTGAGGGTCTTATTCATGAAAGGATGCTGTATTTTATCAAATGCATTCTCTGCATCAATTGAAATGATCATATGGTTTTTATCTTTCTTTCTGTTGATATGGTGTATTACATTTATGATCTTGCATATGTTGAACCACCCTTGCATCCCTGGGATAAAGCTTAGCTTGTCATAATGAATAATCTTTGTTTTAAGTTGTTGAATACAATTTACAAGTATATTCTTGAGAATATTTGCATCTATATTCATCAAAGATGTTGGTCTGTAGTTTTCCTTTTTTGTCATGTCCTTATCTGTTTTGGGAATGAGGATAATGGAGGCTTCATAAAATGAATTTGGAAGATTTCCCTCCTTTTGAATCTTTAGAAAAAATTTGAATAGTATAGGAATTAACTCTTCCTTAAAAGTTTTGTAGGATTCAGAAGTGAAGACATCTGTACCTGGGTTTTTCTTTGTTGGCAGGTTGTTTATTACTGATTCAATCTCATGGCTTGTTATGGATCTATTCAGGTTTTCTATGGACTCCTGATTCAATTTTGGTAGATTAAATGCAACCCAGAATTTGTCCATTTCCTCCATGTTCCTTTGTTTGTTGGTATATAGTTGCTCATAGTATCCTCTAATTCTGTTTTATATTTGCTGTTTTATATTTCTGTTATGTCTGTTGTAATGTTGCCTATTTCATCATGTATTTGATTTATCTGGCATCTTTCTTTGTTCTTCTTTATCAGTCTAACCAATGATATTTTGATCTTGTTAATCTTTTCAAATAACTAGCTTTTGCTTTCATTTATTTTGTGTATAGTTCATTTATTTTCTAATTCATTTATTTCTTCTTGGACATTTCTTATTTCTTTTTGCCTGGCCTTTTTTGTTTGTTTTTCCAATTCCCTGAGGCATAATGTTAGGCTATTTATATGCCACCTTTCCAACTTTTCCGTATGTGCACTAATTTCTATGATTTTTTGTCTTATGACTGCTTTCGCCATAGCCTATAGATTATGGAAAGTCTTGTAGTCATTATCATTTGTTTCTATAAATTTATTGATTTCAGACTTAATTTCTTCAGTAATTATGTCATTCAGAAGTAGGTTATTCAATTTCCATGTGTTTGTGTATTTTTGAGGGTGTTTCTTTAAATTAATATTGGGTTTAATTCCATTATGGTTAGAGAAGTTGCTGGATATGGTTTCTATGCCTTCGAATCAGTAAAGGCTTGATTTTTGTCCTATCTTTGGCCAATCTTTGAAACAGTTCCATGCTGAGGTGAGAAAAATGTGTATTTTGTGGTCTTAGGGTGAAAAGTTCTACAGATATCTATCAAGCCCATTCAATTTATAGTATCATTTAGGTCCTTTATCTGTCTATTTATTTTTTGTCCAGAAAATCTGTCTAAAGGAGATGATGGGGTGTCAAAATCCCCAACAATTATAGTGTTGCTCCCTATCTGTCCTTTTAGCTCCAGCAGTCTTTTCTTCACATATATAGGTGCTCCTGAATTGGGTGAATGAATATTTATAAGCATTATGTCTTCTTGCTGAATTAACCAATTTTCTATTGTATAATTCCCTTCTTTGTCTCTTTTTACATTCAGTCTTTCTCTTGAAGCCTATTTTGTCTGAAATCAATATCACAACTCCAGCCCTGTTTTGATTTCCATTTCCGTGGAATATCCTTTTCCAGCCCTTCCCTTTTAGTCTGTGTATGTCTTTATCCATAAAGTGAGTTTCTTGTAGGCAAGAGATAGAGGGTTTCTGGTTTTTTGTTTTTAATCCATTCAGCCAGTCTGTGTCTCAATTGGAGAATTTAATCCATTAACATTCAATGCTATTAACAATATTTCCGAGGGAACCAGCAGTTAGTGTAATGGCTATGTCGCTGGACTCCCATGTAGTTGACCGCGGTTCATGTCCAGGACCCAGTGGCTTAAAACTCACGCCGGGCGCATGTGCGTGCATGCCCAGGATCCCAAGAGGAGAATGGAGGAGAAGGGATTGTGGCGTGACCATCCCCCCTGGGGGGTGATTTCTCGCTTTCTGTCTCTATGTCTCTGTCTGTCTGGCGAGCGCACATGCCCTATAGCAAAAAACTCTCCAAAAAA